AATGTAAGCACGAGAAACTCGAGCCATGAATCGCCCTCACCTCCTCAGCTTCAGGAGCGCTGGCAGAGAACAGCCAGACGCATGCCTGCCGGCATCGACCATTTGCCCAAGGCTCTCAGATGCTCAAGGACATCGAAGGCATGGAAAGATGCTGCGGGGCACCGCCACGGCAAGGACGAACAGCACAGGGCGTTGCATGGCCATCGTGTCGGCTAGGGCCTTGGCGAACGCGCAACACTTCGCATTGGGCTCGGACCGTCGCAGACATCTCCGGCATGTGCCCAGTTCGCAAGTCGACTGGCCAAGTTCAGAGCTTCGACTGGACGAGATGCGTTGGCAAGAGCTCTTTGCTTGAGCCCACAGGAGCCATGTGGACAGAAGGGACTTGAAAAGGTGTATAGAGACATGCACCTTTCCAAGAGCAGCATAGAGTGGAGACAGCTCAGGCTGCCGCATCCGAAGCTCAGCATCGAGCAGACCTAGTTGAGCGATGCTGTGGCTGCAGGCTCTCTGATTACTGACGTGAACCCAAGATAGTGCGTTCAGTTCAATCTCCGCAACGAACATATTTCCGCAGACCAAAGCTTGCAGCTCTCGAACAGCACAGCCTCTGTCTCGAGGCCCATTAGCTTTTGCCTTCTACCTAGTCTTCTGAAGAAAGCCTTGCTTCCGGGACCCCCCGCCCCGGCGGAGTTTATTATTGTCACCCCATTTATTATTGCGATTCGCAAAGCTCGTAAGGGATACCCTTGCCGGCTTTGCGAAATGGCTCCGTTTATATAAAATAAAAATGCAGAGGCCTCAAGAATAACTGCTGCAGTTCAGTCTTTGGACCAGCGCTCTGCGAGCTGGTAGTTCAGTGAGATGTCTGAGAAATTGCACTCGGCCAGCTGGGTTTAGGGGGGTCTAGGCTTCTTTTTCTCTAAAATAAGCACTGTGCTGCCTGTTTTTAGGGTCCTGTTAGTTTCGGTTTTCTTAGTGTCTTAGCCTGGTGCTTTTTTTGGGGGTGGATTTTGCGCCGGGGGTTTTTGTATTACCACCCAGTTTATTAAGTGCGGACAACCTCTAAGATCAATTGTTGTGGCCATTTTGGCCTTGTGTCTCTACGCAATTAAAACGCAAGCAAATTCGGAAATTCCTCGGCCGGGGAGGTGTTTTTTATTACCACACTGTTCATTAGATCCAATCCAACATTAGGTGGTTGGCTTCTAGCCAGCACTTTGCCAACATGATGACGCCCGAGCCATTCGAGCCAGAGGCGAGGTCGGGGTGTGTTTTTTCGATCGTCTGAAGTGCCCGCCACTTCTGAAGGCAAACTCGCAGCCCACAACATGAGACACAACATGAGTGGCCCTGGAAAGGGTGCAGTGCAGTGTAGTGTTCGATGCTGCCTAAATTCAGAGATGCCGATACTGACCCATGGATGTGGGTTCAAGTTCCAAGACGAGACCGGACACAACAAAACATCCGTGCTGCTCCTCGTAGCCTGGGAACGAGGGCACTGATGCGAAAGTTTTTGGCATACAATAACATGCCATCACAGATGCGGGGCGCGAGAGTTGTATTTCAAATGTTGTGCATTGCAATCAGGGGTGTTTGGTGGTCGGTTATGACTAGGTGGTATTTGCAGCTGCAGTACTACCGGATCATTGCAGAAGCCAGAATATGATTCCCAGAACTGCTACACAGTTGGTTGATTCCCAGCCCATCCGAGCAGGTCAATGCCAGCAGTGCACTTGGCAGTGATGCTGGAAGCTTCTTTGCAGCATACCTTCACAGCCATGAAACAAAGCAAACTAGGCCACCAATACTCAAACACGCAGCTTGAGGTGCTTTTGTCACGACTGCGCATGCATTGGTCGAGATGAGTTGTGTTCTCTGCCACTGCAAACGGAACCAGTCGCGATCTTGACTGCAGCAGCTGGCATGAGTTGGCTCCTTGCCGACGGCATTCGCCTAGGACGATCTTTGCGATACTGAACTCAACTTGCGCACGACCTGCATGGGTTCGCTGATGTTTGCTCATTGCGAAGGCGCTCAGCTTTCCAGCTCGTCATCTTGTTGTAGTTTTTGGCGCTGGTTCTGAGACTTCCCCTCATGCTTGTGGACGACGCCTTGGCAATCGGAAACTTCCACCTGTGCACATGCTTGGAAGGGATCCACGACGAGGAGCTGTACGTACTTCGAAACTCGAAACGCTTGAGACAAAGCCGCTCACGGTGCTGCTCATGAAACCTAGAGAAGTCGACCAAACCACGTGCATGCGCCGGCACCCTTCCTGCACATCCAGATCGCCAATTGCATCAGCGATGTCAGAACGGTCCAGTCCCCGCCTCGCTCGGTAAGCCGTAACGAGATGAGTACGAAGCTTGCGGTACAATGTTTCGTCTCCAGCACCAAAAATCCTCGCTGGCGTCTCTGGAAGGAGTGGCTGGAGGCCCAGGACCTTGGGGAACCTGGGCTGCTCGATGTCGCTCCGGGCCAGCCGCTATACCTCAAGCTGATCCGCGCTATGTTGGAGGCCGCTGGTGGAGGACTCCTCACGTCCTTGAGGAGCAGCTGAACTGGCCGCTAGAGAACGCCCTCTGGGAGGCCTCGCTGGCCTGGGTCCGTGGAGGACCACCGGGACTTCGCCAGAGCCAAGTTTGAAGAGGACGTGCAGGAGTGGGCGAGATCCTGGAGCGCTACGGCGAGCACACCGCTATCGCCGCGCTAGCAGTCATCGTAGAAGATGAGTCGCTAGACAAGAAACGAATTATTCATGATGCTATACCCATCGTGCGCGCCTCAACCACCGGATTAAGTGCCGGGACAAGCTACCCCCCGGCGCTGGAGAGAAGAAGCACTTGCTACGAGAACACGAGGAGGAGGGAGAGGGGCCTCCCCCGTTGCCATCACTAAGGCCCACCGGCGCTTAAGCACGCCGCTAAGGAGCATGGCTACCTGGCGTGCCAGTATACTGACAAGGTGCCGGAAAACCCGCTAGCCAGACGCCAGACTGTCTACGTGAACCTGGCGGGCACCTTCGGGCTATCCTGCGCTAGCAATTGGTGAACGCGCATCGCTGCCTGCGGTTTGAGGCTAACCTACCTCCAAGGGGCCCGACTTCCCGCTAGACCTCCTCCTCCACGCGGACGACTTAGAAGCCATGGGAAGAGGAGCCAAGCGACGGCGAGGAATCCCGCTAAGCTACCTCTTCCTCGCGGCCCTCCGCTACCCGTTCAAGTGGGCTAAAACGCTGGGTGGCTTCAGGGCCGAGTGGCTAGGGATGGAGACGGAGTACCCCACCTACAAGCTAGAACTATCCCTGAAGCGCGCTACTTGGTTGGTCGAGTGGCTCCGTACGCTTCCATTGCGCGCTTGCAAGCTTCGCTGCTGTCAGGCCAGCAAGCTTTTGCAAGAGCTTGCACGCAGGACATGTTGAACCTTCCCAACAGAAGAGGCTCACAGCTGCAGAACGCACGACAAATCTCCACACGAGCTTCATCATCTGCGTGTTGCAGCCAATGAAGCAAATCCTTGACAAAGAAGTGGCGAACGCCCTTACTTGCTGCATTCCGAAAGCAATGTCCAGCCAAAACAGCCAGGGTCCACTGGGCGTTTTTGTAATCTTCTCTTGAGGGCGCAGACAGTGGCATCGTAACTCCTGCGCGGCAGCCAGCATGTCTTGCGGCTACGCTCTGTGCCAGGCACTCATGCGCTTGAACAAGATCCAAGGTCCTGCAAACCACCCATCGCACGCACACGCACACATGCACACACTTGCTCATTGCTCAGGTGCTCTGATCACGGTCATCTGCTGGTTCACGACTTGTGTTGAGTTTGTTTGTTTCAGCAAGCATCAAACAAATAACGGGCAGGCACCAGACCATTTAGCGCAGACTGTAGTGTAAGAAAGGCGCTGTACATCTGTAAGAAAGAGACTTTGACGCTCAAACAAATTCACCAAAACTCTTAAGGCTGCTTGATTATTCTTGAGCGGGGGCTTGGGGTGTCAAGCCCAAACCGATGATGCAGGCAAGACAAAGACATGAGAAGGCCAGAGCAGGGAAATCATGCCGACAGCACGTGATACGTTTGCGCGCACAGCTTCTTTTCCCAGATGTCCCCAATCACACAGCTGCACTCGCAGGTCGACCCTAAGGGCTACAGGTGCCCCGACGCACGGCGAATACCTGCTACTGGTTCCCAGACTTGTGGTCCACAAGTCTTTAAGGTGAGTGCTTTGGACTGCATCAGAAATACCATCGAGCAGATCCGCCGTGTCGACCGCAATGAATTCTGTCTTGCAGCTATTTGCACTTGCAAGTGCACCCGTGGTGCTGCTGAGTATGAACACAGCCTCACACACTATCACATAGTCAAGATGCTCTCGCATGCTTTCCAGCTTCGCTGGATTCTCTAACAAAAGGCTCCGAGCGGGTCATTATCCATACGCACGGGGTCGCAGTGAGCAAGCGGGCGACGTAAGCTTTTTCATATATATATATATGTATATATGTATACAAATATGGACATATATGTCTGTATGTGTGTATGCATGTATGTA